TATAACACTCAGATACTATAGTTGTGATGAGACCTATTTAATAGTTGCTTAATAATACTAACGCTGACTAAACACGTATATATTGGTTTAGTTAAACCTGCTGGCTGAACAAAGAAAATGTAACAGATTTTTCCATCAATGTTTATAAGTGTGGATGGAGGAATCCCTTACTGTTTTTTATTGTATTCTAACAGTTAGATTGTAAGCCCTCAGGTGCAGGGCCCTCCTTACCATGTTGTCTTGATCTGTATTGTAATTGTAATGTATTCCTTGTATTGTAAAGCGCTGCGCAAACTGTTGGTGCTATATAAATCCTGTATAATAATTAATCATTTACAAAACTGGAGCACCACAATCTGAAGAAGCTGCCCATAGCAACCAATCAGCTTCCATCTTTTATTTTCAATGCTTAATTTAACAAACTAAAGAAAGAAGCTGATTGATTGCCAAAGGCAACTGCTGAAGGTCACACAAAACAGCCCAATCTTTAGAAAAACATCAAATCTTTGGGTAAAAAAAGATTATGGTGCAATTTTTAAAGATTGCAGAGTGTTATCCTTTATCATTTAACAATTTAATTGGTTCACAAGTTTTGGTTTACTGGTTAAGCTTGCCATTTTCATTTATTTATTCTGCGCTTTTAGATTACTCCATTTTACTCAAATTCACATTTACAATTATGCCAAATTTGAAAAATAAAAAACATTCCCAGGATTAGGGTAGCACTTTAACAGTGTAGTACTTAATTATTTGTAATAGAAGTTTCCTTCTCACTGTGTCTTATATATCTTTGCAGTGTTGTACATCTTATGTATGTATGCATGCCTTCAAGTACAAAGTTGTTTCCTTACCCTCTCCTACTGTGCCATAGAGGGCAATACACCACGCGTCCCCTCCCGCCCCACAACAAAGTGAGTCGGCCGCAATACAATCCAGTGCGTTCCGGACAGAATCGGGCCAAAACGCACTGTGGGGAATTTATAAAAACCGGAGCAGACAAAATCTGGAGCAGATTTGCACTGCAACCAATCAGCTTTTCTCTTTCATTTTCAATTCTTACCTGAGCAAAACTGAAAACAGATGCTTATTGGTTGCCACGGGCAACTGCTCCAGATTCCTTCTGCTCCAGTTTTGATAAATTCCCCTCACTGTGTCTGGTGTGAACGGGCCCTTACCCTACCAAGGACCTCGCAGCCGCATCTGCGAGAAAATTTAAAGTGCCGGTGTCAGCAGAGTGTCTTGTGTACGGGTGCCCGCTGGCTGGACACCCGTACACAAGACGCCAAACCCGGACTGTCCGGTTGAAAACCGGACGGGTGGCAACCCTACTCCCAACAATCAACTATATTCTACTGTATGTATCTCAGTAAAGAGAGACTATATACTTCTTTTTATATTGGCCTAGACTGATGGTAGGGAGAAGGTGGATTTATACATTTCTCAGATTATTAAATCCGCTACCTCAGGAGATACAGTTAACATCTATCAAATTATAAAAATATGGGTATCAAACAGAAAACCATCCAAGGCCCAAGACACACAGGGAACAAAACTAAGAAGTCCATAGATCACCCATAATTCCACTGTAAATAAAAAGTGTGTTCCATGATCCTTTTTGGGAGCTGGCAGCAAGGGTGCTTTCCCACTACAAGGGGTCCATACTCTATGATAAGTAATTCAAGCTGACATCTAATGGCTAGGCTTTCTTTCCCTCTGGAGGCTCCAATATGTTAAAGGTGGTGAACCCTGATGAATACAGCCCTTTATATAATACGAAAACAGTTCTAACCTTGTGACATCATATGGTTTTATTATGGAATGCAGTTTTAATTACTTAAAATAGAACTTTGATTTATATTGGAATTATGGGTAAAGTACAATCATTATACCATTGATATCTGGCTTCACTGAATTTTCAACTGAGAAATGTTCACTACAAATCTAAAAGATTACTAGTCCATCATACTGAATTTAGCTAGCTATGGATAGTTTAGTCCCCTGTTCCCTGTGGCTGGGAGGTTTGAGTCTTGGGTGCTGTTCTGTTTGATACCATATTTTTTATAACTTGTTATACAGTTGTGCTCAAAAGTTTGCATACCCTTGCAAAATTGGTAATATATGTACCATAAAAAAAAACATGAGAGAGCAAGCAAAACACATTTCTTTTATTTCTTATGGGATTCGTATTCAACTGTAGGACATATCAGAATAGCACAATCATAAAACAAATAAAAAAATGAAATGACCCCTGTTCGAAAGTCTGCATACCCTTAGTTCTTCACTTTTTTTCAGCTGTAACCACTGGTGGGTCAACTTAGCCTTATGTTTAGGGTCATTGTTGTGGTGGAAAGTCCAAGAGCGTCCCATGCGCACCTTTCGTGCAGAAGAATGCAAATTGTCTGCCAGTATTTTCTGATAACATGCTGCATTCATCGTGCCATCAATGTTCACAAGATTTTAGAGCTTTACAGGTGAAACTCGAATAATTAGAATATCATGCAAAAGTAATTGCAGTAAGTGCTGCAAAAGGGGCCCAAACCAAGTACTGAGTACATATGCATGCTTGTACTTTTCAGAGGTCCGATATTGTGCTATGTACAATCCTTGTTTTATTGATTGCATGTAATAATCTACTTTTTTGAAGTTGTGGATTTGGGGTTCTTGGGGTTTTCATGAGCTGTAAGCCATAATCATCACAATTATGACAAATCACGGCTTGAACTATCTTGCTTTGCATGTAATGAGTCTATCTCATATATTAGTTTCACCTTTTAAGTTGCATTAGTGAAATAAATGAACTTTGCACGATATTCCAATTATTCGAGTTTCACCTGTAGAGCTCTATTTTAGTTTAGTCACTCCAAATTACAGTGTGCCAGAAGCTGTGAGGCATGGTAAGGTGTTGTCGGGCATATTATAACCGGGCTTTTTTGTGGCATTGGCTCCGTAAAGGCTTCTTCCTGGCAACTCAACGATGCAGCCCATTTTTGTTCAAGTATTGTCGTATTGTGCTCCTTGAAACAACCACACAGTCTTTTTCCAGAGCAGCCTGTATTTCTCCTGAGGTTACCTGTGGGTTTTTCTTTGTATCCCGAACAATTCTTCTTGCAGTTGTGGCTGTAATCGTTCTTGGTCTAACTGACCTTGGCTTGGCATCAAGAGATCCTAGAAATTTCCCACATTTCCTATAACAGATTGAATAGTACTGACTTGCATTTTCAAGGCTTTGGATATCATTTTATATCCTTTTCCATCTTTATAAAGTTCCATTACCTTGTTACGCGGGTCTTTTGACAGTTCTTTTCTGCTCCCCATGGCTCAGTATCTAGCCTGCTCAGTGCATCCCTGAGAGCTAACAAACTCATTGACTATTTATACACAGGCACTAATTGCAATTTAAAAAGCCACAGCTGTGGGAAATTAACCTGTGATTGCCATTTTAACCTGTGTGAGTCACCGTGTGTATCTGTAACAATATCAATGCCAACATTTCACGATTTCAGCCAGGGTATGCAAACTTTTGAGCACAACTGTATGCTAACAGTATCTCCTGAGTAAGCAGATAGTATATTCTGAGAAAGCCAAAGTGTCAACCTCTCCCTACTATCTGTCCTGGTCGACAGAAAAAAAAGTATAGAGTTTCTCTTTACTGAGATACATAGAATATGGATGACTGGTGGGAGGGGAAAACTTCTGAATGCATCAGCAATATGTACATTTAGTAAAACCAGTATTCCAATCACATGAGTTTTTCTTTGGTCGCTCAAAGTAACCTAAGGTGTGCTAGCATTTTTGTATGCATTTGTATGTATTTTATATTATCATGTTATTGCTCTTTCTTTATGTATATTTGTTTTGAATAATTTTATTTTATGTATGAAATTTTTTTTACATTTTATATAAAAAAATTTATATGTAGAATATCACTGTTGCACCTGAAAAGTCCTGTTAAATATTAGACATGTGCGAATCGTTTCGTTCCGAATCGAAATTCGGACGAATTTTCGGAAATTCGGACATTCGGATGTATTCGAATTACAGACATAACAAATGCAAACGAATCCGAATTTCCATTTCCGAAATTCGGTACCGGTAGTTCGAACGTTCGTTTCGTTTTATGTTCTTATTCGTTTCTTATTCGTTTGTTGGAGCAAAGTGACATTAGAGAAGGAGAAAAATATTTTTTCCCCCTCAAATGTCACTTTGCTGCAAACGAACGAACGAAACGAATAAGAACAGAAAACAAAACGAACGTTCGAACTACCGATACCGAATTTCGTCCGAATTCCGAATTGACTTTCACACCCGAATCCCGAAAAACGAAATAACACAAATCCGAATTTAAAACGAAACTAAACTAAACAAATTTTTTGGCAGTGCACATGTCTATTAAATATCTTTACCGCACATGTTCTGTTTAATTTATATCTGGCAACAGTAGACAGATAAGAAGCAATGTTTATTGTTCATATCGATCTGCATTCACTCCCATGAAAACAGGAACTGAGGTGTTTAATGTACAACCACTGTAGTAGCACAGACAAGAAGTGATGTTGGAAATGCACACTTGGGGCACACCTTTTTGGAGAGGAGCCAATGTCTTCCAGCATGTCTTTGGAGTGTGGGAGGAAACCAGAGTACCCGGAGGAAACCCACACAAGCACAGGGAGAACATGCAAACTCCTTGAGATAGTGACCTGGCCGGGGTTTGAACCAAGTACCCTGAGTGCTGCAAAACAGAAGTGCTAACCACAATGCCACTGGGCTGTCCAGTTTCTTTGTTTTACTTTGTTGAAAAAAATGAATGTGCTAGACAAAGGATTTTACGTTCTAGACAATAACTAGTTCTTAAAAGTGAATGATCGGGCCCCAATTACCCATTATTTTGCTTAAACATTTTTTGACCAAGCTTTATGCTTTACCATGACGTTAAGATTTCTCTGAATATCATATCTGTGAAAACAGCTAGCAGTAAAATAAAATAAAAAAAAGTCCCTTACCTTGAAGCACATTTCGTGTGCAGTCATTCAGATTCCATGTAATGACATAATCTTGTGAAGCAGAGCAAGCAAGCCATTGATCCCCATTCTGTTTTATTGCCACTGCAGTTATGGGTTGGTGATGTCCTTTAAGAATCATAGGCTGCCAAAATGAAGCAATTACAAAATATGAAGTAAGAAAATATATCTTATCAAATTGTTTACCGCTCATTCAATGGATTGTTTTGTTTACTTTTAGAAAATAAGCAATGACCATTAAAGTGACACTAAACTCAGGAGTCTATCACAGGAGTGAGCTTGGAGTGGTGGCTACTTCACAACATACAGGGACCATGGGGAACAAAAGTAGCAACCTTCCAGAAGAAAGGACATCAGAGATGATTTGAGGACCTACAGCTGAGTGATACACAAATAACATATATTTTTATTTTAGTTAAGGTACTTGAATGCATTTTTAAGATTTAACTCCTGAGTTTATCATCACTTTAAAGCGGAAGTAAAGTGCCCTTCTAAAAAATTGTTGTCAAGCAGGTTTTATATAGCAAAAGAGACTGCGGAAGTCTCTTCTGCCAACATTCTGCTACCTGCCTGGTAGCAATTTGTATTCTTTCTGTGCACTGAGCCATGAATGTGCATCTCATTACACAGACCTGACATGCCGAGGTGAAATAACTCCTCTGCACATGCATGGGAGTTACATCATGTCGGCTGGCTGGCCGGCCATTCAAAAGACTGAAGATGCCAAACCCGGAATAAGGCTGGGAGAAAAATGTCAGCTTCAGCAACAGAGGGGAGAGGGGACAGAGCAGCACTAGAGGGGAAGTCATAATGTGCTTATATGCTGTGCATATTAACATATTATGCCCAACACCTCTGGGGGCACGTCACTTCCACTTTAAGGCCTACTTTACCCAAGATCAGAATTTCAGTATTTTGGCTACCAATGGCTACTTGCAAGTGGAATCATATGCTAGTTTTTTTATATCTCCCAATGATTCCAGCAGATAAATATTTCTACTCAGTGCTATAGCTGGCAATAAAGCTGCCTTTGGCACACTTTATCACACCTTTTGCATTGATCCTTCACCTTTTTCTTATAAACTATGTTATGTTGTCTATCACTATGAAAATGGAAACCAGAATGTGAAATGTGAAGCAGGATGTTCTACATACAGAGCTCCTACAATCTTTTGTGGTGATGCTGGCTGTGGAGGGGAGGAGACATCTAATTTCTAGCCTTGTAACTTCTAGTAACACACCCCTTCTCCTCAGTTCTGCTACAGGAACTAACTACCCAAAAAAGAAAACACTACGTTTGGAAATCCTGTATTGTTGTCATTCACTTTTACGCTGCCATACTATGCACAGGTTCAATAGTGCACATTGGTAATATAGCACTATCTGCCCTTCAGCACCATATTCAGGGTCATCCCTATAATGAGGCAGGCTGATCCCATCCTCGGAGCCGGTCGGCTGTCACATCGCTCCCTCCTGCCTGTCTCCTCCTCTGCTGTAGTGATGGTATGTTCATATGCGTCGACATGTCCTATACACAGTGTATAGAATGTGATGACTCACAGGACCATAGACCGCTGCAGCAGAGGGGGAGCAAGGCTGGAAGGACCGGTCTAAGAGCTAGCCGTCCCAAGGGATCGGGTGAGTATAATTTTTTTTTTTTACCTAGACAAAAAACAAGCAGTAAACTATTGCAGGTTGGGGGTAGCCCCACTGCAAATGGTTAATAAAAATGTTGCCTGGAGTTTTTCTTTAAAGAACACTTTAATCCTTGCATAAACTCCAGCTAGTGGCCACTCAGCATAATTTCACATAACTCCAAATGACTAGCAAAGCACTATGTCCACCCTCTGCCATCCCATCTAATACTTTCTTTGGGAGCAGGGACGCTCATCTGCATGATGGCAAAGAGCAGCCCTATTCTGTGGGCTATGCTGTGAAGGAGCAACCTCATCCACCATTTACTCCCTTGTGGCAGCATCGCTGGTAACCTCATAGACATCTACATTAACACCAAGGTACTGTTTTAAACCATTGATGCCTAAACTTTAGAGTAATACTTGAGGGATTATGGCTGTGCATAAATATTCAAGCTTTCCTGCTCCTCTCAGTTGGGAAGTGCTTGGGAAAGAGCAACCCCTGTAGCTTGTAGAACTTGATTCCTTCCTTAGGACAAGAACTACAAGGATCATTGAAGAAAGACAAAACATTTTTGTTGGCTATCATCGACCTATGACAACAGTTTAGATGACCAAAAGGATCCTTGCTCCTCACTCTCCTCATTAACAAAACTGCGACATTCTGTGTTCTTTCTATACAGTTTAGTACCAATGTAACTTGCACAAGGGTCAATGGAGAGAAGTACAAATCATTGTTAGAATATAGTGGATCTCATCGCACTCCTGACTGGAGAACCCCAAAGTGCAGGGGGGTGCTAGAGCGACCGCAGTTGCCTCTGCATGTCAGAAACTATAACTGGTAGAAAGTCACTTGCACTCCAGAAACTTTTCTTTATTGACCATCAAAGTGTCACATAACTTAGCGACGTTTCGAGACCGTCTGGTCTCTTCTTCAGGCAAAATAAAAGTGTGTTTTGCCTGAAGAAGAGACCAGATGGTCTCGAAACGTTGCTAAGTTATGTGACACTTTGATGGTCAATAAAGAACTTTGTACAAATCATTGCGACACAAAGCCTGCAGGTTACAAAGAAATTAAAGGTCCCTGGGTTTGTTACCAAGATATTAGGTGAGGATGGAAGCATCACCAAAGCATCACTCCAGGCTCAAAATCTGCTAAGACTATTGTTATATGTCTGAGACTTGACTTGAGGCCCCCTCTATTTTTTTCAAGCTGACAACCACTGCTGTAGGCATGTTGTATAAACTTGTGTGGATGAGTTTGTGTTCCATAGACAGCTGAATACCAGTTTTACTGCAGTGACTTAATTGGAATGTTCCAGCGCACTGTGCTACAGTCCAACTCAGAAGTGTGCAGCAAAGGGTTACAACCACACAGCTACAGCTGAATTGAGTAAGTCTTCACACTAGGGATGCACCGATATCAGTACTCGTGAAAATGCCCCGATAATTAAAGCCGATAACGCCCCTTTAAATTTTTTTAACTGATTTGGCTGCCGTAAGGTCCCGCGTTTGCTGGAGACCTCACGGCAGCCATGTGGGAACCTTGCGGTGGCTGTTTACAGCGCCGGTCCGACCGAACATCTCCTTCTCCTTCTTCCGGCTGCCCGCACAACCCTGGTAAGACCCATACAACCCTGGTGAGACGCGCCCACACAACCCTGGTGAGAACACAGAAATACAATTTCTTATGTGTGCATTTCATCTGTGTTTTAATCTGCTTGGCTGGAGTTCAGCTTTAAACGCTTTAACAATACAGGAACATGTGAAACAAAATATGTTGTTTTGAATCTAGAATTCGGAGTGAATAGGGATAACAGCCATTGACCAAGGCTTAGTAATACAGGTTGCCAACGTACACTCACTGGCCACTTTATTAGTTACACCTTGCTAGTACTGGTTTGGATCCCTTTTTGCCTTCAGAACTGCCTTAATTCTTTGTGGCATAGAATCAACAAGGTGTTGGAAACATTCCTCAGAGATTTTGGTCCATATTAACATGATAGCATCACGGGCCCAAAGTGTGCCAAGAAAATATCCCCTGCACCATTACACCACCAGCAGCAGCCTGAACCGTTGATACAAGGCAGGATGGATCCATGCTTTCATGTTGTTTACGCCAAATTCTGACCCGACCATCTAAATGTCGCAGCTGAAATCGAGACTCATCAGACAAGGTAATGTTTTTCCAATCTTCTATTGTACAATTTTGGGGAGCCTGTGCGAATTGTAGCCTCCGTCTCCTGTTCTTAGCTGACACCCAGTGTGGTCTTCTGCTGCTGTAGCCCATCTGATTCAAGGTTCAACGATTTGAGCGTTCAGAGATGGTATTCTGCATACCTTGGTTGTAAAGAGTGGTTATTGCAGTTACTGTTGCCTTTCTATTGTCTCGAACGAGTCTGCCCATTCTCCTCTGACCTCTGACATCAACAAGGCGTTTTCGTCCACACAACTGCCACTCACTTTATATTTTCTCTTTTTCTGACCATTCTCAGTAAACCCTTGAGATGGTTGTGCGTGAAAATCCCAGTAGATCAGCAGTTTTTGAAATACACAGACCAGCCCGTCTAGCACCAACAACCATGCCACTTTCCAAGCTATTTAAACCCCTTTCTTCCCCATTCTGATCCTCAGTTTGAACTTCAGCAAGTCGTCTTCACCACGTCTAGATGCCTAAATGCACTGAGTTGCTGCCATGTGATTGGCTGATTAGCAATTTGTGTTACCAAGCAATTGAACAGGTGTACCTAATAAAGTGGCCGGTGAGTATATATGTATTCTGATGCACTGCCATTGACTTCCATGGACCTCAGAACACACTAAAACGCAGAAAAAAATGGACTCTATGACTAAGCCCAGGAGTATGTGAAACATAACAAGACCTCGGGCAGGACTCAGTGTCACTGATGAACTTTCAATAAACTGATTCAGTGTTGGAATGGAGTGTGGCTGGATTCCTTTACTATATGCCTGTTTGGTTAGAGCGAGGACATACTCCTGCTGGCAAGCACCTGGCTGTGTTTCCCCTGCTAAAGCTGTGGAGGAGCGATGCTGTATTTCTATGTCTTGGTGTAGCAGAAAATAAATGGGTATGTCATATTTTTAAAAACATACTGCACTGGGGTGCTAAGATAGGAACAGACACTATGCTTTTTATGGGGAACCACGAGGTGTGCATTTCAGAACATTCCAACATGTGTGTTAAAACGCAACAGTGTAAATGGGCTCCTACTGTTTTGGCTTAGATACACTATAAGAACAGCGCTGACCATTACCTCTGCATGTTGGTTAGCTGTGTCCCAGATGCAGAGCTCATTTTTATTCCACGGGAAAGCACAATACTTGTGAGTACAAGCAAGCTGCACATGGGATAGAGGAGAGTTGGATACTGTAGATCGCGTCTCATAAACTGAAGGCCGAACACATATATCTTCCATGGAAGACGCTTCAGTCATCCTTTTCATTAAGAGAAACCTACAATAATATAAATTATTAGCAACCATGTTACTGAACACAAACTATAGCCCTGATTAATCTGTGATTGAGCATAAACAACAGTGTCTACATAAACCTATAGGGAACAGTGTATATTATGATTTAGCCACACATACAGATTATTGTTGAGGCTGCATCCAATATTTTTGATTTCCTCAATACCTTGTGTGTCAAGGTTCAGTGACAGAAGTTATCAGAGTCGTCACTGTGTCGCTTTGAGGAAGGGACTTTACGCGCCCCCAAGATGTTGGCTTATAGACCCCTGGGAAGTCATTTTGCAAAAAAATAACTTTGCTTGCACGTTGAGTTATTGAGTGCTGGTGACCTATATTTATATCACAGAGGGTTTTTTTCCTAAAATATGGCCAGTGTTAACATGAGTTTTTAAAAGTTTCCCTGCACAGCCTCCTGTGACAGCGTGTCAGAGAGGAGAGCGGAGTACAAACACTCAGTGATCGCTGAGTGTTTGTAGATAATTGGGGACAGGGTATGTTTACTATATCCTCAATTATGAATGAATGGGAAGTGATCTACATCACCTCCTGTTCATTCATGATTGTGGTTATAGTAAACACACTATGTTCTCATGTTATCAATGAACAGGAACACTCATAGAGGATTCCTGTTCATTGATAACAGGGGACACAGAAAAAAGATTAAGGACTTTGTGTTCTCAGTCTCCTTTTCTATTTTAAAAGGGAAATATCTAGTACAAAAAATTAACATTGATAAACATTACAATAATAAGAGAGCAAGAATTTCTGTCAGGTTTTTATCGTTTTTAATTACTCTGCATAGTTCATTGGTGCTTTCTATTTGTCTTAGTGACTACTGTCACTAGGAAAGAAAGTCGGGGAAAATCCAGCATTTTGAATTGTCACCAGAACAACAATAGAAGGGGATTGTTTCAGTAAGAAGACTTGTTCTGGTGACAACCGTCCAAGGGCTCATGCACCCAGGCATTCAATGTGCTGCATTCAGATCTATACTTTGGACGTATTTTACACCATGGACATATCAAGGTTTGTGCTAACGTTTACATGTGTACAACATAAAGGGTCCTGCTGCTGCTGCTGCTCTGGGCCGGCAATAACACTATTTCCATGTTGGCCCAAAATGCATCATTCATGTGGCAGCCAAAAGAAAGGATCCTTGCTGCACACCTTAACAGGATTGCCATGTGGATATACCAGTGGGCGCTTGGAAAGACTGCAGATGGCGCAGATTTAATCTCTGAGCCTGATGAAGGGGACCCTGTGTGGCCCCAAAAGCGATTGCATATGAGGGACAGCTTTCCTCAATAAACTTAAACTGCTGTAACTATCGCTTTGGTGTGCTGGTGACGTTCTTCAACTATTCATGTGGCAGAAGCACATGCATCCCGTATTAAAGCACCCCCACACTGCAAGGGTTAAGGGAGCCTAGGCAAAAATGAACACTTAACCATTGCAAGGCAGGGGTAGATCACTGCAAGGGTTAATACAATTTCTACATTTTAGAGTTGTTCTTTAAGTGAAAGCAGAGGTCATTCTGTGCGCGTGCAGCCACCGCATGAATAACTTATTCACGGCCAACATGTGAGCAGGGTATATTCAGTAATAATATGACTTATTTGAATCATTCATTAGGCAAGAAAGAAGTGTAAAGCTGGCCATACATGGATATATTGTATCGTTCAAACTGCGGACTAAACAAGAGCAAATAACAGATTCCTCCATTCATTCTTAGCAGCATGGATGGACGAATCTCCTGCTGGACTATAGTATTCTGACAGTGAGCCACTGGCACTGGCTGCTGTTACTGTTTGACTGAAGATCTTTCAGCCTGCTCCTTTGATTTTCTAATTGAAGGATGCTGGACAGAAGGCTGCCTATAGGGCCACACACTGAGCGAATTTTGGCCGGTTCACCACCAAAAATTCACACGGTGTATGGCCGGCTTAAAGTAGTATTAAACTCTCAAACGTTTTTCAGTAATGAATCCGGATTAAACAAATAAACATTGCCCAGCAAAGCATTCCTTTACTTTTTTGCCCAAGCACTTACAATCATCTCTTTCCAAACAGCTCCAACTCTCTCAGCTCAGCTTCCCTGAACTTCCTGTCTAGTACAAGATCACAAGGGACAGAGAAGTCTGCAGCAGCCATCTACAGTGAGGAAAATAATTATTTGATCCCCTGCAGATTTTGTAAGTTTGCCCACTTACAAAGAAATGAAAGGTCTATAATTTTATTATAGGTGTATTTTAAATGATAGAGACAGAATATCAACCAAAAATCCAGAAACAACACATGATACAAATGTTATGAATTGAGTTGCAGTTCAGTGAGTAGAATAAGTATTTGATCTCCTACCAACCAACAATAATTCTGGCTCCTCCCACAGACTGGCTATGTGGTACACAGATTAGTCCTGTCAATTTAAGAAGGTGCTCCTAACGACAACTCGTTTTGTTTTTTAAGCCCGTGAACGTGCATCAAAACAAACTTCCCCCTGTGAACAAAAAAAGTGAACCGTGAAATCACAGCACACAAAAACGTGCACAAGGGTGCAAGGTCCTTCAAAAGAAGGGACCTAATTTCCCGAACCCCCGGGACGCGAGGCTCCTGACAGGGGTTGAGACTGTTGGTCCACCAACACGAAGGCCGGTGGACCCCGATCCTTTGGGGACCTGCCGAAACAGGTCCCTCACAGTACTAGGCCGGGGGGCTCTCCCGAAGAGAGAGACCCCCCTCCTGGGTGGGAGGAGACAGAGAACCCTATATAAGGGCACAGAATCTCCTCCCAGCATCAGGAATAGGCCCCGAAGAAACCTGCACCTTCAGCATCTGTGGGTCAAAATTTGAAAATAAAAAAGTGCCAAACGTGCATGGAGTGCATAAATAAATCTAAAGTGCCAGTGCACCACGCTGACAGGCCTTAGGGGCCGGAGTGCAAAAATATTCCCCCGGACTAGCCATAAGGCCTGTCCAAGAGGCATTGTGCAGAAATAAGCAATATGGTGTGTGACCGAGTGCTACAGTGAGTCATGTGGTGTCCCATACCGAAGTGACTTTCTGAGCACCCCTGGGACGCCACCCCCAGGGGGCACAACACCACGGGCTTCTGCCGCCCCCAACCCTCCAGCCAGACCAAGCTTTGCATCTGTTCAGTCAGAAAGCCATATACTGAGCTGTTCCCCTCTCACAGGAAGCAGCCCTACACGCTCTTTCACTTCAGCGAGTACTAAGTAACCATTCCCCGCAAGGACGGTTCTTTTCCCCACAGAAAACTGATAAGAACAGATACTACACTTGATCTTAGCCAAAAGGCCGAGAAGCGACGTCCTGAGATCTGTGACAACCTGGTAACCAACTACAAGAAACATCTTACCTCTGTGCTTGCCAACAAGGGTTTCTTCACCAAGTACTAAGTCATGTTTTGCTTGGGGATCAAATGCTTATTTTACTCACAGAACTGCTACTCATTTAATAACATTTGTATCATGTGTTTATTCTGGATTTTTGGTTGATATTCTGTCTCTATCATTTAAAATACACCTATGATAAAAATTATAAACCTTTAATTTCTTTGTCAGTGGGCAAACTTCGTCCTGAGATCTGTGACAACCTGGTAACCAACTACAAGAAACATCTTACCTCTGTGCTTGCCAACAAGGGTTTCTTCACCAAGTACTAAGTCATGTTTTGCTTGGGGATCAAATGCTTATTTTACTCACAGAACTGCTACTCATTTAATAACATTTGTATCATGTGTTTATTCTGGATTTTTGGTTGATATTCTGTCTCTATCATTTAAAATACACCTATGATAAAAATTATAAACCTTTAATTTCTTTGTCAGTGGGCAAACTTACAAAATCTGCAGGGGATCAAATAGTTATTTTCCACACTGTATCTACTTCAGGGCTGTGCAACTCTGTCAGTCTTGCAATAACTCATGGGACTTGCAGTTCCATAACAGCTGGAAGATTGGAGTTGCCCACCCCTGACCTATTAGCTTGTAGAAAGGAGGAGGAAGGGGAGTGGTTAGCCTTGCTGTGGAGACACACATACACACAAGGATGGCTCAATAGGATCCTGCAAGGGAAAAGAGCCACGCTAAGGCCCCATTCACACCGAGCAGAAAATCCGGATTTCAGCCGCGATGTCGCACAATTTTTGCCGCGCAATATCGCGCGAAGTCCCCGGCCGATGATTTTCAATGGAGCTGTCTTAATGTACAGCTCCATGTTGCCCGTTGTGGTCGCAAGTTGCGCCTGCAGGACCCTTTTTCCCGCGGATGTCGCGCAAACTTCCTTTTTTGTTAATGCAGCCCGACGGTGAAGGTCGCTGGAACATCGCCCGAACCAGCGCGCTATCCCGCCGCTCGGAGATCCGCTCAGTGTAGCTTAGTGTGAATGGGGCCTTAAACAGGATATCAGGGCCAGTGCTCAGGGGAGCAGCTGATTCAGCTGGAAACCAGAACTTTTCAACATCTAAAAAGGTGCCCATACACTGTACGATTATCGTACCATAATCGCTGGAAATCCCGCGATCGTACGATAATCGCAAAGTGTATGGAAGGCGTGCAACCGTTTCTACTGTCGCACGTCTTCCGTTGAACAAGCAGGCTGGAAAACCCGCCGAGAAACGTAAGATTCTCAGCTGGTTAGTGGCGTTACTGCATTGCAGTCAGCATTGCAGCCCTCAGCGGAGCGAGCTTCGATGATCGCAAGTACAATCTGCCTGTCCAAGATGGGCAGATCGTACGTTTTTTAAATTACTTTACAACCATCGCAAGAAAAAAGTCTTGCAGGGGTTGTACTTGGCCACACACACCTTACAATCATTGTTGTAAGGTAATTAAAAAAACATACGACCTGCCCATCTTGGACAGGCAGATCGTACTTGTGATAATCGCAAGCCCGCCCCGCTGAGGGGCGGGCTTCCGATGAACGCAATGGTGAACGGGCAGTGTGGTGGGCACCTTAAGAGAAGCATCTGTTGTAAGTGATTTAATCAGCATCAGGTTAAAATCATTTTGACTTTAATATCACTTTAAGATTGTACAAGCTGCCTGTATGCATCTCAGCTCCTACAAAAAAAGTGGGTGTATGTCTGTAGGAGTTCAGATGCAGTACAGGCAACATTTTATGCAGGATATTGCAGCCAGTAAGTTACTGCGTTAAGGGTCCATTCACACCAAAATCGGACCTAAAAAGGAAATCAACTGAGGTCAGTATACTTGCAATTTAATGCTCTGTTGACATCCGTTGCATTGCTTTTTATTTTTTTGCCAATCTTTATTTTAAATAACATGTCCCGAGTGAAGCTTAAGGCTAGGTTCACACCTAAAAATAATAATTTTAATTATTTTATAATTAAAATATTAATAAAATTAATAAACACATGCTGCTTTGTGAATCGATTCTACTAAGCTGTTTTTATAATAGATCCATCCTCATCCAATCATAAATGTGCACCTATAGTCATACATCTTACCTCGTGGAGGACTGTTGTCCTCAACCAGCATGTAGTCTGTATCCTAGCAACAGCAGCCGTCTTTCCAGAAAAAAGGAAAGCCGAAAGGGTCATGACAACGTCTGACGTCATGTGTAGCTTACTAGGGCATGGTAGGAGGTATGCTTGTAAGAGAATATGGGACATTTATATCTGCGATACACGAACGGCACTAAAAAGTCTTCACAGATCTTGGAAAAACTGTTTATTTTACAAACATATTTATTTTCCAATCGTATTGTGTTTCGGGGGTTGGGGGATGACTGTCCGCTAGCGGTCGCTGAGTATCACCGCAGGGGGTCGCTCCCCATCCATTCTACCAATCCATGACTTTTCTATTAATGGCAGTGAGGCGCCACTAGGTGGCGCTGGCGGGCGCTGCTGCTTGTTAGGAATCGAGGAATGTAGGACTCGATAAAGAACGAACCGAAGATGCATGTTCATTTAACGTAATTTGTATTATAATTCAGTAGGTTCATATCTGCACTCCAGTATGCACTCAGTTAAGCATATGTTTATAATAAGAATCCTAATTTTAAATGAGAGACGTCAGTTCTGACGTATGCATTGTACGTGCTCGTAACACCGGAGAAGCTCAAACTTTATGACACTGCCTTGACTTCCTGCTTGGGGTCTCCTCCTCCTATGTGTGTGCGCCTTACTACTTCCGGTGCTGGGCTGTCCGGTGCCCGGAGCTGGCGGCGATCACCTGTGAGGGTGGCTGGCTCCTCTCTGGTGAGTGCTCGCCTTCTTGTTTGCATTGTGAGGTTTGTATCTCCCCCTCCCTACATGTGAGCTGATATCTCTCTCCCATACCGGCCAGGGGTCATATACTGCACTACGTACTACACTACAGCTGTGACAGGAGCCTAAAGAGACCCTGTCACCATGACAGCTACACGAGGGGGACAGTCTGTAATATCTTATATGTATAAAGAGACCCTGTCATCACATCTCACCCTGACATTTACACACAGGGGGGCATTCTGTAGCATGTAATATGTATAAAGAGACCCTGTCATCACATCTCACCCTGACATCTGCACACAGGGGGGCATTCTGTAACATGTTATATGTATAAAGAGACCCTGTCATCACATCCCACCCTGACATCTACACACAGGGGGACAGTCTGTAATATAAGTATAAAGAGACTCTGTCATCACATCTCACCCTGACATCTACACACAGGGGGGCATTCTGTAACATGTTATATGTATAAAGAGACCCTGTCATCACATCCCACCCTGACATCTACACACAGGGTGACAGTCTGTAACATGTTATAGGCCTAAGGTGTATTTCTTTTCATATTTGAGAATCCCCCCCACAATACATACGTTATGTGATCCTAGTCACCCAGCGTACCAAACCATAACTAAATACCAGCAATACAAAATATTTTTAAGAGTATTTGCTTCTTTTTTATTTTATTAAAACATTTTATCGAAAAAAATGTAATTGATCCTTAGCCTAGGTCTCTGTGTTCTAAAGCACTGGCATCCTGGAGCAGGGAGCCACGCTCACGGCGGGGGACACACTCATTTGTCTCTGCCGAGAATGTTAAATGCTTAAGAGCCTACAGTGCTGGAACAGAGGGAAGGTTGGCGACATCTGCAGGCATGTGCAAACACCTCATACCTGTCAGCAGCTTGTAGTATTCTTAAAGTACCAAAAGTCTCTTTAATTTTATCACAAATCATTATAATGCTGAATGTGAGGTATAATGTTTGTTTCTTTTCTCCCATAGGATATTGCTTAGAGAGATGGTCTCATACCAGGAAAAGAGTATTCTGACACTTTTCGCCTTGCTCTCTTTATTAATCATAGAGTGCTTCAGTAGTTATGACATTCCAGAGGAATGGATGCTCCTACATGTTGTTCAGGGACAAGTAGGAGCAGGAAACTACAGCTATCTCAGACTTAACCATGAAGGAAGAATTATACTTGAGATGCAGAGCTTGAGAGGTGATGCAGATATGTACGTCTCCGATGCAACCCTTAACCCCAGTTTTGACGAGTACGAGCTGCACTCCATGACCTGTGGCCAGGATGTTGTAGTTGTGCCAGACTACTTCAAGCGCCCTGTGGGGATTGGAATCTATGGCCATCCTTTTTATAAGGAGAGTGAATTTGAAATCAAAGTATACTATGACCCAACAATACACGATGACCCTTTTGCTGACGCATCCTACGACCCAGAAGAGATGGAGGCAAGCCATGAAAAGCAACGACAACCCCAACTTGATGCAACTCATGAAGAAGAATCTGTGCTACAGACTATTCTCATAGGGATTCTCAAGATCATCCTAGAGATTCTCTTTTAAGTGTGATTATATTTCTTTACAGTCCATCAAAACTGAGATTGTTTTGTAATTAAAACTGGAATTTTTCCATAAATAATAAAGGATAAGGTTCAGGATGTACCAATTACAGCAGTTGGCATGTTTTCCTATACTGGTACATTACCAGCTCTATACTTGGCAACCAGAAGCGATCAATAGCCTAGTTGTAGGTATGTTACCTATGACTCAAGAAATTCTCTAGGTATGAAAGGGCTTTACCAGAAAACAATGACTCCATGCTAGCATCTTCTAAAATATACAATATTGTATTAGTTGTCAGATTCTTTATGCGATTGCTGGTTTATTTGCTTACTCTGGCTAAAATGAATATGTAGTATTTGTTTTCTCAAGGGAAACAACATTTTTTTTTTAATGAGATCTGTCTATTTTTCGCATCGGTAAATACAATTTGGTAATTCAAAAATCAAACATTTATAGTTTACAGGCTGGTATCTGTAGACACCCAATGTTTTGTACTAGGAATAAAGTGTTATTAGAATTGCTCTATTTTTACACATTTAATTTGTGAGGGTTTTTTTTCTATTTTTTAAGAAAAGTAATAAAATTCAAACCTGTATCTATATCACAATTATTTTGGGAGCTTTGTTGAAAAGAATATGAAACCGTTTGCATGAAATATGATAATTGAATGGTGATAGGACAGGGATATGTTTTTGCTTCCCCAGGGAGCATGAGCATTGCTGATTGGAGAGCATTAGTTGTGATTTATGTAGGGGGCATCAGAGCACTGGAGATAGACTGCGGTTCTTGAAAGGTGGTCTTTATTTTCAGCCTGTGGTTATTCTGAATTTTGCACTGGAGCACAATTCCACAGAATAACAAAAGTAACTGTACAGTTTGTTTTCTGAGAAACAATTGCATTTAATATGAACAAGCCCTTGCTCACCTCTGCAGCTGTAGGCATTATGGATAAATTCATTTTCAAAGTTACAACACAGGCACTGAAATATCAGCTTTTATTCTAGGAGAGTCAATCTTGGCAGCCTGCTAGACTGTAAATAACCATCAGGTGTTTCTAAACTGAAACCTGACTTCTGAGATTTTGTGATCCTTGAGAATTAATTACTTCTTAGTACAAGCCGCTAGAGGCGAGGACTTGTTTTGAAGCTCTTTACTGCTTGTTAAGAAAATGTAAATACATTTTCCAAAGTCTGGGTACAGGTGCACTTTAAAACAAATGTTCTAACCGGCCTGGCCTCTGATTATTGTTTACATCCTGTAGTGCAGGGGTAGCCAAACTCTGGCCCTCAGCTGTGGTGAAACTACAAATCCCATGATGCATCTCTCTCCAGGTGTTGAGAATCTTGCAATGCCTCATGGGGTTTAGTTCCACCACAGCTGGAGGGCCGGAGTTTGGCTACCCATGCTGTAGCAGATGTCTCCTTCCCTTGGCTGCACTTGCGCAATTCATCCTCATTGACTAAGTCAATAGGGATGCACTGTACAGAGGCGGTTGGAGGAGATGCCTACTACAAGTTGCCAACAAACAAACTGAGGCCAGGCGTGTTGGGAATAGGTAAGTATTTACCTTTTGCATGTGGATGGCGAGAGCAGTGACATCAACTTAAAAGGGGCGTGAAGGATAAGTGCACTTTGTTTTAAAGCTAAACTTGGGGGTAGCCAAAAAATTTAATGTTACGGTCCCCCCCAACCACCACCATGTATATGCATGATATAATGTGTGTTTAGTCTAGGGGGTCCCACTAGAAAGAAATATTTACGGTAACGCAGGCTTCCCACCGGTTCTGGTAGTAATGACTGATTCTTGCACCAATATTATGTACAATGCAGGACCAGTGCACACTACTGGTCCTACATTGTTCATGATTAAATCAAAGACCTGATCCAATTTTGGCCTGGGAGAAAAGCAGCACCGGCTGCCGCATGATCATGAATAAGTGACACTAAACTCAGGAGTTAAATCTTAAAAATACATTCAAATACTAAAAATACATTCAAATACTTCAACTATTAACAGAAATGTATCTTATTTGTGCATCACTCAGCTGTAGATCCTCCAATCATCTCTGACTTGGTGCTGACACTGTCCTTCCTTCTTACGATTGTTCCTCGTGGTCCCTGTGTGTTGTAGTCACCGCTCCAAGCTCACTCCTGTGATAGACTGCAATCTCAGTACAAATTAGCTAACTGGACATAACATTGTAGGTCATCACGGGAGTGAGCTTGGAGCAGTGACTACTTTACAACAAACACAGGGACCATGGGGAACAAAAGTAGCCACCCTCCAGAAGGAAGGGCAGTGTCAACATGAATTCCTGACATGAACATGAACTCCTGAGTTTAATATCAGTTAAAAGGTATTATGCTCTATTAGATCCCCCTAAACAACCACTGTATCCTGCATATAAAGAAAGGGCACCCACAGTTAATATTTGTATGCAGACTGGAGTTTAAATATACATCTAAGGATTAATCCGAGGAAAAGGATTCCCTGTGCACCTCAAATATAGTATAAGTATATTGAAGGTTATTTTCACTTAGAACACAATTCACTCTATTAACTGAATATGCATTACATAATTTGGCAGCACCCTTCCTCTGGTGAGTAGTAGTGTCCCTCCTTGCTTTATCTGGTGATTAGCAGTGGTGCATCCTTCGTTACTGGAACTTTTGAAGCGGTGTATCTACAAATGGTTGGCATTAGCAATTAGGAGTTTCAGAATCTGGTGTAGAAGGTATTATTTGCTTATTAAAAAAAAAAACGTATACAAAATGTGTTCAACGAAAAAAGAGGACGGAACCCCAACTCAGTGTTTGTAGACTGATGATGTTCAGTTGATCTGCACCAAGCGTTTCTGTGTGCAACAGATTTTCCCACACAAGTCCAAAGAATCTAAAGACGGTACAGTACTTTTTATATAACTGCAAAATGAGCAGTAACGAGTAAACCCTTGAAAATAAGGTATTTTAAGACCTGAGACACATTCATCTCCAAACATTTGGATAGTGTTAACACAAATTTTATTTTCCAAATTAGTTGGTGTTACAACTGTTCTGTTGCGAGTGGACACTGGTGGGTTGCCCTAACCATTGCAGTCATCCTTTAGACTCAAAGCCAAGAAGAAAAAAAAGTCCATGGCACCTGAACAATTTTACTACTGTCTGGGAAGGAGAGCTGTAAAGCCACATACCTATTCCAGGATTATATTTTCACTGTCAGTGGAGCCGACAGTCTACTCAACTGCCCCAGAGCCAGGGTGCAGCCTTTGTCTTACAACCATGAATTTACGTGCGTGTGTGTAGTAGGGGGTAGTTTAAAGCAATATTAATATGCACTTAGTCCCATATAATCCAAAGCTAAGCTTTGTAGTCCCATATAATCCAAAGCTAAGCTTTAGAGAGCAAGCACATATTCAGGAAAATCAAATGGCTAGAAATGATAGGATGTGTTCCTTTCTGGTTTGCCATGTCAATATCAGATTCCTGAGAGGGCTCATTTACATTTTTTTCAACGTGTGAAAGAGGAACTTTACCCTTATGTTTACAATGACAACTTTAGAAATGTTTAGTAAATCGCAATCTACAAATGGATACCTATAGATAATTGCCGGCTTTTTATTCTTTGAATATCTTTGTATTCTTTCCCTCCACATTCTTCTCACGGTGGCCATTTATTTTTTTACTAAGGGCAGATTACTATATCTCCCTTTACTTCCTGGAACTCTGGCACGTGACCATGCACATCTTCTCGGGAAAAATGTCTTTCCCTGAGATCTTGTGAAATTCTGCAGTTTACAGATGAGATTTCCCATCAATGCACTGCTGATAACCTTCCGAGGATGGATCTCTTGAGCTGGGCATGGGCTACATCATTATGCCTAAGAGGACGAAGAAGTGGAAAAACTGTAATTGTAAATAAAAGCAACATATGTTTGTTTAACTAATGAATGTAAGATAATTTCATATCAGCATGCAGACCTGCATGTTGATGTGATTTTTAGTGCAAGGGGGTAAAGGTCCACTTTATGGCAGCCAATTGCAAACAATGGGCTCCAAACACATGTGCATTGCCATAGTGTGTTGAGGTGCCATTCAAAATCAATGGCAATGCCATGCATGTATGTATTCCCGCAACACAATAGTGTTAATGGGCCCTTAATGTTTCTTAAACTAATTTATGCTTACAATGCACATAGTGCAGTAAACACATACAAACCTGTAAATAATAATAAAAAAAAAAGAACTCTGTCATCTTTGGCTGTTCTGTTCAACAGAATGAAAGGTGAAATCTTACTGGCTTCCACAGGTTCATGGACTTTGCACCTTACTGTTCCTTATGCAGCCAGGAAACATTTGTCATAACCGGCCTTTAGTACTCATGAATACACTTACAAAGATAAAGACCTGAATGAAGCTACCAGCCTAGTATATCTAGCCAACTACTCAATATAGCTGCTTGTTAAGCTCCAACTAGTTTTTCCTTTCCAATCAGAGGACTGCCTTGACAGTGACGAGATATAGTTATGCTCGTATGTTACAAATCTGCTTGTGTGCCTCATTATCAAGTGTCCACAATATGTTAGCATTCAAGATACCATTATCTTGCCATATGTCAAATTAGTTCTGTAGATCTGTAGAAATTGAAAATCAAATTAAAAAAGAAAAAAAAAGACTCAAGACAGATGAGAAGTTAAAATGCGTCACTTTAGTTAAGGTTTGAAAAGTTATCTTCGACTTTCAAGCAGCAGAAATTGATATCATCATAAAAATGGTCCCATTGAATCTGATCCCATAGAAAAGCCCTTGATTCCACAACAGTTCACGCGCCTCTTAAAACTTACATGCTGAGATTTTGTCACAGTGTGATGTTTCTGGGCTTTAAGCAGCTTTGAGGTTTTGCAATATCTACAACAACAGCTCACACAAATGTAAAGTAAGCACAGCACAGTACTTGCAGTTGACAACACCTTATCTGAAGTCATACATACAATAATAAAATATTCAATGATACATGGAATGACATACAACAAACATGATCCACCAATAGAACAGATGTAGATTTGTCTGTGCGATTATTACCACCCAAAACTAGGAAAGAAAGTTAAACACTTGTGACTAGTAATTTCCAATGATAAAAGGCCAACATTTAAAAAGGAATAATATTTAAAATTTGCAGCACATGGGAAATATTCAGTGCATGTGTAGAGTTCTTTTCTTTCTAAACCCATTGGTATGAGGTATATATATGTATTTTTGTTAAAACGTTGAATAAAAAAAAAAAAATCTACAAAAATTATATATTCATCAAGTCCCAGGATGTTAAGAAAGATCGAGTAAAATTCCAACCTTGTGTTTTTCATTTGGTTTAAAAATGTGAAAAAGTGGCATGTAACTGAAATATGTTTGTAGATCACGTAAGAGTATTTAGTTGTGTAGCACCATTTTAAAAGGCTTGTACAATCAGCATCTATAAATACATTTAGTTTATCCTTCTTTACTGTTTTTGCCTCTTTTAACTCCCTTTTTTGGTGTGGCTGAAACATTCTGACAGCAGTCACATATCCAGGGACCTTTAAAATAAAATAAAAATAAAAATATATTCTTGTTTTTAAACAGCCATAAGCAGTGTTCTCATATAAACATAAAACCATATGCACATGGATATTTGTAATTTATACTCTTACGGCAATTACTATAAAAAGTGTATGTAAAAGGCACTAATACTTTAGATCCCCTAACTTCTTAAAAGATAATACTTTCATAAAATATGAATCTCATTGCCCTCCCCATCTGCCTACACCATGCCACTTACAGTTCCTAATGATGTTCCTAACTAATTATCTCTAAACAGTGGACTACCCCAGGCCAAGGCCAAGGCCTGCAGTCTATACAGTTGGACAGCTCTTCCACACGCACCACTAAGCATGGTGTTCTGCACATGTGCGGGCACTTCTCTACAGACCTACCAACAGGGGGGCATTAGGGCTTATACAGGGAAAAAAAACAAACAGAAATGGGCAGTGACCCATTGGGTCACTGGAGAAGATGATCTGATCCCCATGTAGGCTGAGGCCTTTGGGGTCCCCCACTGCCATGAGCTCTGTAGTGGAACTATAGATGGCATGGAAGGGGAAGGTGTGAGACTCATGTTTTATAAACATAAGTGATCTCTTTTTGAGAAGGTGTGTGGTAGCTGGATCAGCTGCCACAGATAAAAAATAAAAAGCTCCAAAAAAGTCAAAATGTAGACAAACAGATCTATATAAAATAGACCCCCCCCCCCACACACACACCCTATTAATTAATGGGAAAAGAGACTACTATTGCTAGCCTCTTGAAATCTTCCATGACTGCCCCTTATTCATCAGTACTTTGAGTCACTGACCTATAAATAGTACGCTGATCAGCATGAACATCAGGCAACTAGCATTTTCAAGAGATGTCAGCAAAAGCAGCCTCTGCGCTTCTCCTTTCAGAGATTTAGAGGCTGCCTATGCCCCAGTGCACCTTCAAAATCAAGCCTGCAATGGAAACTCCAATGTTTCTACTCTTCTACTTATCCCCTTCGGTATTGAGGCATCCATTAATGAAAGTGTTACGCTTTTTCAGACACCCAATTTTCAGGGATCGGGTGTCTGGCAGTGATAGAGCGATATTTACCGCACTTGCTGTCACTGACAGCTGGTACAGATCGATTTTTCAGAATTGAAAGCTAAGTTTCTGTTCCGAAAAAATGTTGCAGGCTTCTGATCATATTTGGGAACGATCAGAAGCCTTTACTGACAGTGATCCTGACATGCTGTCACTAAGGTTATTGTTTGCTGTTCCTAAGTTTGGAGCAGCCTAATAATTACCAAAAACTAATCTATCAAATTATCAAGCAGTCATAGGGAGATCAATTGACAATAACTGCTTGATATCATTAAAAACAAATAGAATTGTATCCCCCCATATGACAGCAATGTTCAAAGTGTGTCACTGTCACCTAGCACACTTACATTGTATGCCAGGTGACCACTGTTAGGTTTTGGTTTTAAAGTACAGAAATTTTTTGGGAATCCTAGGGGTGTGAGGTGTTTCCAAATAAAAGGACAAATACAGGAATTTATTTTAATGCCTTTTAGCTGTGCTATTTTTCTAAAAGGAAATAATAATCAAAACTGGGGAAAAGTGTTTTCTGTATGTTTTTTCCTTTTTTTAAAATATTTTATTTATCCTAAGTGAGGCAATAGGCACACATATGTGATATAAATATATAGCCCCATCTGTCCTCTAAAAACAATATATAATATGTGTGGGTGCACTATGTAAGAAAGTATATTACTGCCGTGGAAGAATTACACAGCAAAAATGTAAAATGTGCGTCAGTCATTAACGAACAGAAACTAAAAACAAGCTCAGTCATAAAGGGGTTATATATGCAGTAGCTTCTGCAAATATGTTCTTTTACAAATACCTCTCATTCTCTAAAAGATGAACAGAACTCTATGCGGCATAGAAGTGCTTATGTATGTTTGTGCATTATACACCATCAGGGCTGTAAGAAATTAGCCAGTAATCCCTGTAATTGTCACATTTAAAAACAAACGACTATATACAGTAGTAAATCAAACCTACGACTATCATCTTGATAAAGAAGAAGTATATATTAAACTGAAAAACATTTTCTAGTTGTGAGAAATGTGACATTGCTGTATTCGACTGTCTGCAATATGCATTGTGCTATGTTTTGGAGGAAACCACTCTGCAAAGATACATTCTCTCTTAGCATTTCTCAAGCTATTTTTAGTCATGGCAACTTTTAAAACTATGTATAATCTAGAGGCACCTCAGTCTAAAATGTGAAAATCAATCTTAAAAAGGATTTGTGGTACTCCCCCCCTTATCCTAGACAGGGGGTTTGGATGGCTTTTTAGGGGGGCCCCATCACATAAGGACCCCCCCTTTACATTAGAAGCCCCCCTCCTCCACAGCAGGACCCCCCTTTCATATCAGAGTCTACCCTTAAGCAAAATATTTGAGGCACCCCTTACAAAAGCCAGAAGGTACCCCGGGGACCCTGGTTGAGAAAAGCAGCTCTATCTATATGTATAAAACAATCTCTTCCGTCAAATAAAGCCTGCCTGTTATTTTGTATCCCCTATTTATTACAGGTATTTATATAGCGCTGACATTTTACGCAGCGCTTTACATAGTTGCACATTCACATCTGTCCCTGTCCTCAAGGAGCTCACAACCTAAGGTCCCTATCTCACATACATACAGGGCCAGTTTAGACAGAAGCCAATTAACCTACCAGCATGTATTGGAGTGTGGGAGGAAACCAGAGTACCCGGAGGAAACCCAGGCAAGCACAGGGACAAAATGCAGCTAGTGACCTGGCCAGGATTCAAACCAGGGATCCCCAGTGCTGCAAGGCAGAAGTGCTAACCACTACGCCACTGTGCTGCCCTTATTTCAACTCTAAGTGTTTACCAAGAAAAATGAAAACATTAAATCGGGGAAATTTGTGAAAACTGCAGCAGACAGAATCTGGAACACTTGCCCATCAGCTTATCTCTTCAGTTAAGCTTTGAAAATGAAAGAGAGAAGCTGACTGGTTGCTATGGACAACTGTTCCAGATTCCACCTGCTCCAGTTTTCATAAAATCCCCTCAGGATCTTTAGTAAATAAGGTCCATGACATCCAAAAAAGGGAACCAATATTTCCATGTAGCCTACTGAATACTACAAAGTTTATTCATAGAATTGCCATGTAATGCACTTTGTAGGATTTAGCACTGATCAGCAAACATACCTGATGGAAGAGCACCAAGCCCGACACAGAAAGTATGATAGCCACGGTCACAGTGGTCACAAAACATCATCTCCTCTTCATGGTGAGGCTGGCTACATATGATACATGTTTTGCACTCCATACATTGCCAAGGGTATTTTTTTATTATTGCAACTAATTCTGGTGCCATATCCAAGCATGAAGGGTGACCTGGAGAGATAAAATAAACAGAAAAATATCAACTATTATCATTGCTGTCAGAGAAATATGTAGCCATATTACATGACAAAGGAAGTTTTATCCTTGTTTAGAAATGATTTCTAAATAGAGATCACAGTGGAAGCTGCTTGCTTTCAGACTCACTCTCTCTCCAATTGAAACTACCTGAGCCCCCCTCAGTACAGAGAAGGATGAGCCACTACTGTGACTCATTAAGCTGTGTGTATAAATTTGAGCTACTGAGATTTGTAAGCAACCATTATTTTTAACAAAACTTGCAAGACTTGTTTTGCAAACATGTGGAATTGACTAGTGCCTGCAGCTCCACATGATGGATGGATATTGAAAAACAAAATATTCATGCTTCCCTGACTGATCAGAATCCAGAATAACACAAAACATTTCCTTTAAAGTGTATTAGTTCCCCAGAAATACATTTTCTCTAGGAGTAGGCATTGTACAAAAGCAAAGCAAGGGCATGCCACTGGGTGATAAGCCAAAAAGTAAAACTAAGCAAGAGCAGTGTTCACATGAGAACCACATAAAGCACTACTCTTCAAAAAATGCTGATGATCAGAAGTTTGCTAAAGATCACCTTGACACTTTACAGCACTACTGAAAAAAACTGCCGTGGTAAAGATGGTACTGAAAAAAAACCTCTTTGGTAAAGTAGCACAGCGTTATGCTGGATAGGATAAAACAGTGGGACTTCAGACTTTCTTTGGCTCAGGACTTGGATGGGTTTAAAGCAGATTGATCAATTAATTTAAATGTTCACAGCACACTGTCAGATCATTTGTCTGTTATGTTAAATCTAAAAGAGGTTTCAAGTCCTTAAACATACCAGAAAGCCTAAAAACACAAGGGGGTCAGTATGGGAAAAACAATGCAAATTCTATCCTATCAAAATGCAGTGATCTAAACCAGGTTATTCAAGCAATGTATCCAAAAATATACATCAGGTGAAATAGCACTTTATATAGGGATAGACCAAAATAATACCTACCTTGGGCTATTCTCAGCTAAATAATAAAAACATTAGGTTAAGGTAACCACCAATAAAAAGGAGGTTCCACAAGTTAATAAAAATAAGCATCATCATAGTGGAAGTCCCCCCCACCAAGTGAAAATCCTATATGTGACCATTGCCATTAAAATAGGAGTCCCCATTGAATGAGATACCCACTACCCTTCTTCCAGGAACAACCATAACATTTTAGATCTACCCTCACTCTTTGTCCATGTGGCAATAGATAGCACAGCATACTAAGAGGCGATCTCTAAATTGGAGAGAGGCACACGCACACCCCAATGAAAAAAACCTGAGAGGTTCTAACTTTCCCGTTCTTTTGAACATGACAAAAAAACAACAAGTACTATAAAGTTTAGATCTTAAATTTAAAAACCATTCATGCAAAAATGTAGACAAAATTATGGATCAAAAAGCAGGCATTAACAATACAAAATTAAAAGGTGAAAGCTGGATAATCCTGGTCACACCAAAAGGTTGAAAGAAGTTCTGGGTCAAAATAAAACACTAACATTTTTGTTTGATTTTCAAGGAAGCCCCAAAACCCAAATTTCTGCTTTTGCATCAGGATTCTACATTTTCGAATTCTAAGTGAGCTCAGCAATTGTTCACAACACAATAACCGAATCAACACAGCTGACAATCAAAGGATTTTCCACAAAATATTAAAGTCTATGTAAACCCAAAAATGTATTATATTGCAGCTTACTAGTCGTTAGATGATGTGGCTGCATTTGTTTTCTATTTTTAGGTTTTTTCTCCCCTTTATTTTCACATGGCGACCCTGCCAGGAACACACTTTCTGTCCTAGTGGGCACTGCTCACTCACCATGCTTGAAAGAACAAGAAGGGCATCTTAGGGGAGAAAGTGTCTGAGGACTCCCCATTTCCATAACATGGAGGGCGTTTCGTAGTCCAGAGAGAGAACTAGAAAAATGCTAACTGATAACAGTCTGCAGATGCAGAACACAAAAAGGAAGTTATAAGCTCACTAGGATTTCTAGCAGCATCAACGGGTATTTATCTTTATATATTTTTTTAATTTCATTTATTTATTTGATATTTAAAAACCCTTTCAATAGTATATTTAACAGACAAAAAGATTGAAAAAAAGACACATCCATAGTTAGGATTTACACTTTAATGACTTACCACTATTCTCACACTGGGAGCAGTGTATAAGCTTCTCGGCTCTTCCCTTCTTTTTGTCATCCTTACCCTTCAGACAAATTCCACAAATAGCATTGGAGTTGGCCTTTGGCTAGAAGGGTAGAAAAGGGCAGTAATGTCATGTCATAAGAACCCAGTTTGTGGGCTCATCAGAATTCTTTCCAATATGCAGCTTCAACATCTAAAAAGGCAGTCAAGAACATAAAATACTGATACCTAAATACGTTCTACCGTAACCTAAAACAAGACCTCTAATAAAAAAACATAAGAAATCAAAACCAACATTAGCTTCCATGTTTGCTGTACCATTATAAATACGGATATTGACAACTGCATTGACCATTCGCTGTGGGAAACAAGTTACTAGTTATAGATATTAAAACACAACACAAAAAACCTCATAAGCTTTTCAAAGCCCAGAGTTACCATCATAGCCAAGACAAAAATTAGCTTTTCCTGCGAGAACATTTATTAACAAACTCTTATCAAATCATTGAAAATGTATTAATGGAGTAAATCAAAAAATGACCGACATTAATTATTGTTTAAAATTTCATGATGCAAAGTCTTAACAAAACGCCATGATGGCAAATATTGCACTGACTTACAGTAGAAAAACATAGAATGCAATACAAAATGTGAGATATGAAATCCACTCTTCGTTCTATCCTGCGGCATGCCTTATAGGAGAGGTGATATATTTACTGTAGTCTTGCAAATCATGTATGCATGGACTCTCCTTCCAATTTAGTTGATCTACATCCAAATAGGTTACACAGGGGTCTATACATTTTTTTCACGCAAGATTCACACACTGTTCTAACTGAATCTTAGGTGAAAAATGTGTTACTCTTAGATGAAAACATTAATAAATAGACCCCAGAACTAAAGAATCTTATGGAATTTTTTTCAATTACTTTATTACATAGCATTGGTAGCACCTGTAGTATTAAAATTCAACACACCTTTATAATTTGATCATTTTTTTATTGTGTCAAAAACTGTAGAAAGTTGACAAAAAGAGACAGGGGCTTTTTCGTGTTATAACTGGACACAGCATACAGTGGATATAGAAAATTTACACACCCCTGTAAAGATGCCAGCTGAAAAAAAAACACAAAAAAACACATGGCCCGCAAAGAGCTTACAGTGAAATTACCAAGAACTGGTAATTGATGAAAAAGAAGCGAGCAGAAAACTGGTACGGGAGGCTGCCAAGAGGCCTACAGCAACATTAGAGGAGTTGAAGGAATTTCTGGCTAGTACTGGTTATATACTACATATGACAACAATCTCCCATATTCTTAAGATGTCTGGGCTGTGGGGTAGGGTAGCAAGATGAAAGCCTGTTCAAGAAAAACATCTATGCCCGACTGCATTTTGCAAAAACCTACACAAAAAGTCTTTATGGTCGGACGAGACCAACATTGAACTTTTAGGCCATAGTTCTAAAAATTATGTTTGGTGCAAAAGCAACACTGCGCATCACCAAACCCACAGTGATGCATGGTGATCAGTGACGCCCGTCTCACCGATGGTGAAAGCTTAGACTGGCTTCTGAAAGCCTTGTCCTCTGCTTGTTGGTGTCCACATCCACATGGAGCTACTGGTGACTTAGACAGGCGCTTAGGAGATCCTCCCATGCTGGGGTCCACCCCAGTGGTTGCCAGAGGAGAGTAGAGTAATGAGAAGTCGTTTTAACTACCACATAGTTATTGGATTCACAGGCAGTTAGTTATCTTTTGAAAGCAAATTCCTCCTAAGCAACCTCCCCAATTAAATAAGAAACGGGTATATAGAACGAACCACCTGTCACTACCCTTTCCTGGCCATTATTAACAGCTTCTAATGAGTCGGTGACCTCCTTATTAGTGCACAAGCACTCGAACCAAGCCACAGAGAAAGATAGGCAAGTCCATTTCCTGCTCAACAGACCACATGATGAGTGTTCTTTACAGAAATTTTAGAGTTGTATTTTTAATGTCTTCATAAAAAGATACTATAAGCTCCAGAATCTTCATTCTGATCATGGCTTTACAACCTAGGGAGTCACTAACCTGGAATTTGCATGCAGTCAGTGAGGTCTGAAGAGTCTCACATCCTGTCTTGCTTGCTTTTTGTAAGGTTAGAGAATCATTAGGAAGTGAAACCAGGATAAGGATAACCGGCCTAGATCCCATATCTTTAAAAACCAAGTCATTAATGGCAGCTTCCATATTTCAGTCCATATAAGATCCCTTTAAAGGAAAAGCATCATGGTAAAAATAGGAGGCCACCATTGCAGAAATGCTAGTCGTTAGGTAGACTGACTAATAGACATGTGCACTGCCAAAAAATTCGTTTAGTTTAGTTTTACATTCGGATTTGTGTTATTTCGTTTTTCGGGATTCGGGTGTGAAAGTCAATTCGGATTCGGAATTCGGATTCGGACGAAATTCGGTAGCGTTCGTTCGAACGTTCGTTTCGTATTCTGTTCTTATTCGTTTCGTTCGTTCGTTTGCAGCAAAGTGACATTTGAAGGGGGAAAAATATTTTTCTCCTTCTCTAATGTCACTTTGCTCCAACGAACGAAACGAATAAGAACAGAATACGAAACGAACGTTCGTACTAACGCTACCGAATTTCGGAAATGGAAATTCGGATTCGTTTGCATTCAGAATTTCCGAAAATTCGTCCGAATTTCGATTCGGAACGAAACGAATCGCACATGTCTACTGACTAATACTTTTGAAATCACTGACATGGAAGAAGCATGCAGTCATTTTAGTCATAATAGCCAATATGCATAGCTTGTACCAGAAAGGCAATGTAGTGTGTATTGAAAAAAGGAGTCAGCATGTAGTAACGCAGTTCAAAAAATTATTGATAGAGCATGCTAGCCTTATTGTAGCAGCTTTTAACCATTTAATATTAATTAGCTGTTTCCATTAGCGCAAATTATCTATTACTATACAGTTCAAAAAATGCTACACTCCACGAGTCATCATCGAAGATAAAATCTTTAGTAAACCCAGGAGTTAAATATTAAAAATGCATTCAATACCCTATTAACAAAAATATAGCTTTATTTGTGTATCACTTGGTTGTAGATCCTCAAATCATCTCCAAATCCGTGCTGTCCTTCCTTCTGGAGGTTGCCTACCGTTGTTCTCCATGGTCCCTGTCTGTGATGCAAAGTGTTCACCGCTTCAAAATGGCTCGTCACAGACTACAATCTCATGTTTAGTTTACTAATTGGTATTGAGATTATAGTCTATCACAGGAGTGAGCGTGGAGTGGGTCTATTTTACAAAAACACACAGGGACCATGGGGAACAAAAGTAGCCAGCCCCCAAAAGGAAGGACAGTGTCAACATGAATTCAGAGATGATTTGAGGATCTACAGCCAAGTGACACCCAAACAAGATACATTTTTGTTAATAGTTAAAAGGTACTTAAATGCATTTTTAAGGTTTACCATCTGAGTTTAGGGTCACTTTAAAAAGGAGCAAAAATACACTGTCCATTCTTCTTCATGTATCCTCAATTTCTAACACGTTTCACCATTTCAGCTTACTCGGAGACAAGCCGTCACATTTATTTTAACTGTGTATTTAGCAGTTGCCTGGAGATCTACTTTAAGTGTTTTTTTTTGTCATGGGTTTGATTGAAAAGGACTATGTGTTAGGCTTTCTAGGGCCTGCCCTACTGCTGCACCCATTATGCAGTACAGGAATCTCAAGCCTGCAAAATGTTCATAATGTAAAATAAACAGAGAATTCAGCAGTGAGAACCCCTTTCACATTCGGCATTAAAAGGTGAGCAAAGCTTAGAACACTAATGCAAAGATCTGGCCACTCGAGTGCTTGAAAAAGAAAAGCTGTTTTGCCTCTCGCATCAACCTCCCAAACAATATTCGCTTGATGTACTTACCCCTTAAGGTATGTAGAGACATTTCACAGTAGCTAGTGAATAGCACATGCACTTTGTCTGTAATTCTTTAAAAGATGACAGAAGCTTTTATGACATTGTTGCCATTTATTTAAAAATAAAGCATGGTAAACCTCTTATATACAATAAAACAGACATAAATGTGAAATATTCACGTCTACATCTACAAAATAAATATAGCTATATTAAATGCCACAAAACATTTCACAGGACAAACTTGCCTATAACACGCTGTATTTACACATCTAAAAATCTATCATCTCTGTAGAATATAATTATCTGAAGAAGGAACCTTTGGCTTACTCTGCTAACTAATAGGTGGTGTGCACAATACTGATCCCTGGTTCAAATGAAAAATGTAAGATGGAAAAAAAAATCAAACCATACAAAAGTTGTATATCATGTGTAATATCTTGTGAAACATATTCCAATAAGTTTCAGTTGCAGATATTAGTGTGCCAACAAACGTAACTGTTGTACAGTAATTATCATACACAAAATGACAAACCTAAACTACTTAAAGTAGACCTGTCGAGAGAAGTACGGTGGCTGCCACTGATGACCTCCTTCTAAAAGTGTCTCTGTAAGCTAGTTAGGTCAACATAATGGCCAAGCCCCTAACCTTGTCACCTTGCCGATTCAGGGCAAATTAAGTGTCTATGCAAAGCCCCCCTTCCCCAGGACCCACTTATACTCGCTTTCCAGCTACTTCTCCATCGGAAGTCCCCAGCGATGGGCGCTAGCTATAGGAAACTGCCACATTACACCCTCTGGGACGTGAAAGTGCTTGGGCTTAGTGGTTGGCTGCTAGACCCAAGCACTGTCATTTACAGCCCGATACCCGGAAGCATCAGGTATTGTAGCCAGCTGTGACAAAAAAGGAGCTGTGGGAAAGGGATAGAAAGGTGGGCATCAGTGGGTCAGGGAAGCCCCTTTGCAAAGACACTGTCACATTGCCATGATTGGGGCGAGGCAACAGTGTACCTTACTTTCTAAATAACTGACCTGGAACAAGTATGCAGATCAGGAAATTCAGAGAAAAGTCAGGAGTCCTTTTCTGCATACTGGTTCCAGATTAATAAAGCAATGTAACAGGGTCAGGATGATACCAGGCAACCAGCACTTTCAGAATGAAAGAAGTAATGGCGGCCTACATGTTTC